TAGGGAAATACTACATTCCAGACCGATTCTTCCGTGCCACAGTATGTGGAATATGTAAATGTTCCCTTGTATAATTCTCCTTTCTAAGGAAAATAGGGCTGATCTGTTTGGTCTCTTTTCATAAGAGATTTTTCCCATATTACCAGTGACTCTCTTTACCTCTTTCTGAACTTCTTTTAGCTCTCAATACCCTTTTCGAGATGGCTCAATAGTACCTTAGGTATGCTATAGATGAGGCTGTACTCTTGGATCGCTATAGACTTTGTGCTTGTTTTCACAAACCCTTTTGAACAGTGCTAACACGTTGGGGCAGGGGGTCAGTAGTACCTAATAGGAAACATATATTTCTATTTCTTCATTTGTAAAATGCAAATTCCTGTAAATTCCTTTCTGTAAAATTCAAGTGGGAAGGAAAGGTGATTAATGCCCAAGTCTGGGAATCGGAAGACATGATTTATCCTCCAGGGCTTGCTGGTGATGTCCTAAGGAAAACCACAAAGGGCAATATTTAACGGTGTTCATATTTACCACAGCAAGAAATTTGGCCGTTAGCTTATGAAACCCTTTGCTCATGAATAACGTACCACTGTACATATGCGTGAGTATTCTAATCATGAATATATATGTAATGTTCAGTGCTGTGCGTTCTAATAAATAGTATCTGTCCTTTTTAGTGAGATTAGGTTGATTGCATCATCTGATTACACCTGATGATCGGATCTCTACTGTTCCCTGATATCAACAGATAGAAATGGTAAATAGAAGCGCAATGCCAAAACAGGAAATGGAGGATTTTATCACAACGATGGAACTACATATATTGGATAAAAAAGAATGACTGAAACTAAAAAACTTTTAAACTTATCTGTCAAAAATATCAGGGACTAGTTCACATATACAAAAACATCTTAGCTGGAAGGAAAACAGTCATGGTATAAAGAGCACTGTAATGTTAACAAGCACAGACTGAAGAGTCATAAGTAGATATGGCTATGTGCTTGCTTAACAGTTATTTAGGCCTTTTTGTGTTGCACTCTTCCTGGCTTGGATTTGCCCCTGTGATAATCCCAAAGACTATCCCAAAGCATATTAAAAGCTATGCAAAGTGTATCATTAGAATCATGTTTGATTCAAGCTTTTATTGCAGAAAAAATTGCATCTGAAAAGGAAACGGTTAAGAAAGAAGGGCTACAACCCAGAAAACAGTTATTTTCTTCATTTTAATTGTACAACAATCCTGTTAATTTCATTCAGATATTTACACTTATACTCACACATCTCTGCAATTAGGGCCCAAAATGTAGACTTTTTAGAAGATATATCCCGCACACCTCTATAAGGCTTCTCTTGTGTGTTCTTTATATCTAGGGACATGATAATGCGACTAATGAGCAATTGGGTGTATTGGAATGCTTATTTCCAGTTAAGTATGAACTATTCCTTTTATGAGTTAGGTTACTGCACTTGCTTCATAAAGTCTGAACTGAATATCCAAAGCAACTGCTGAACAGGATTTTTCGGATCAGTAGAAGCAACAGCTGTTTGTTGGGAATGGTTTGGCAATTGCACTCTAATGCATCTGTAGTGGGATAAGCTTAACTTAACCTTGGAGAGAACATTAAAAATGAGCATCCATTTATATATTTAAAAGCTTCCTAAACAGTACATCCTCTTGTAATATTGAGGCAAGAGTTGCATTAGAAATCAACAGTTTTAATGTTAGTAGCACTGCTTAGAATTTATTTTGATATACTGTGTTTTCATGTGGTATCCTTTCTCTGCCTTTGGCAAATAGCTGAATAAAAATGACTGTTTAGCTAAAGTTTAGAAAAAATGTAAATCTGCTTTTCTGAAAGACGCTTGCAGCTTCCTTGGGAAGCTGTGACCAGTCACAGTAATAGTGATGGATGCATCTCTGGTGTGTGGTGTGATGCAGTCCTTGCATTGCTGTCATATGGCTTTCTACGACATATTCTTCCTTTTTTGTTGCAGGGGAGCCAGAATTCAAATATGTTGGGAATATGCATGGTAATGAAGCTGTTGGAAGGGAGTTGCTCATCTTCTTGGCTCAGTACTTGTGCAATGAATACCAGAAAGGAAATGAAACTATTATCAACTTGATCCACAGCACACGTATCCATATCATGCCATCTCTGAATCCAGACGGCTTTGAGAAGGCAGCATCCCAGGTTTGTAAGGCTACAGATAATAAGAAGTTATCAATGTCTATATCAGCCTTAGAATCATAATGAACTAACAATTTTACAAATACACGAACTTTTACCAGTGTTACGATGATCATGACATGGAACAGTGTAACTGAAGTATTTTCTAGTAGGACCATAGCCTTGTTCTGTTTAACAAGGGGGGTTATGTACTTAGGCTAGTACTACAAATGGTTTTCAACAAATAGCCGTTTCTATTTTAAATGAATTCACTGTGTTTTACAATATTGTTTTTGTTGCACACATGCTCTTTCTTCTAAGTTCACCGACCAAAATGTTTCTGAAACAAGTAACTTATTTCAAACGTGGCAGAAAGGGGTGTTTCAATTAAAAATATTCTCATATAAATGCATTTCTGCATTTCCTTCACATTCATCGGAGCTTCAGCCCAAAACAAGCAAATTTTGCGAGCCATTTTCTTATAATAAGAAAGAGCTTTGATTCTAAGTTTTAAGGCATGAGGTACTTTTAAGCTACTATTCAGAAAAGAGTGTGATGTGTTACTGCACAGTTAGAAAATAGAGGCCAAACAGGACTTTGTTATGTAGGGTTTTTAAGATGTATTATATTCTAAATAAAAATGAGAATTTTCTTGTTTTACAAGAAGTATGGATTCTTTTTATAAATGTGAAAACCTTGAATCTTTCTATGTGGCTTTCTATTTGTGATTAAATTCACATTTTATTAAGCTGCTTATTAAACTGATTCTCATGAAATCTTTTTTTCTTTTTTTAAATAGAACTATTTTAAAACATATTCAATATTATATCTCCCTCTAGTGGCAGTAAAGCAAAAGCGGCCTTTAAATTGGTGTGGTATTTTACATGTTTCAAAAGTTTGCCTATAGTGATTCTAATTTAGAATTTGAGAGAAACTTTTGCTCTTGAGTTGAAGTATACTTGCTTCTACAGAACTGCCTTATAAAATTGCATATAATTTATAATGCACTTTTGCTTTTGTGCCACTCTTGTTCTAATTTAGTGGTATATTGATCTTATACACAGTGTTTGGCAGTATTAAAACCAAAAATCGAACCAAACCTACTTTACAGAGTACTGACAGCTTATAGAGACAGCCTAGAGAAAACTATGAACTTAGTGGAACTGAAAGCATTTCCTTGATTCAAAACCAAACCTCCTTTAGAGAACTAGCTTAAAGAAAAGATTATGCAAAAATTCTTGTTGCGTCTTTATCCAACGCCACCATTTGAGTGAATGAAGCTGACAGACACCATGAAAATGAAAAGCTCAGGTACAGAAAGGTTAAGATCCCTCTTTACCCTGAAACCACTTGGAAGAACTTTGACATAAGTGCAAATATTCCTTGAAGTTGGTTAACAAATCTACAGCTGCTCTCAGGTTCACTAAAATGCGGTCTATAAATCATGGCCACAGGCACAAGGCAAAGGGGAAAAGCCGGGTCCTGAGGGAAGACTCAGCAGAAATAAGCTAGGCAGGCACTGGAAGACCTGACTTTTCTGGTAATTTTGCCCACCCTCAGTCCAGATCTGCTGTTGTGAGAATGATCCTTTGCTCCAAGACTGACAGTGGCATAGGGGCTGGTTTTATTCCTGCAGTGCTCTAGAAAGAAATATGGGTGACTTAGCTGACAGTGCTTCAGAAGTTTTTACTGCCCTATGATCCCTTCTCCTTAAGAACATGAGAAGCAAAATCATAATCTGAATTTATATGGCTACCTCAAAAAGCTTGATGTGCAAGTTCCTGAATGTGCTAATTTCCCTTCCCTTTCTGTTTCTTTCATCATTCAGCCTGGTGAACTTAAAGACTGGTTTGTTGGTCGGAGTAACGCCCAGGGAATAGATCTAAACCGAAATTTTCCAGATCTCGATAGGATAGTGTATGTTAATGAGAAAGAAGGTGGCCCAAACAATCACCTACTGACAAACATGAAAAAAGCTGTAGACCAGAATCCCAAGGTAAGCAGTGACTGTGTATCAACTCACTTAAAAGCCCATCTCTTCTCTTTTTTTGCAAGCGGACGCACAAGTTCTAGGAGCTGTATGTGGTTGTTTACATGATTCCAGTCCTTGTAAATATTTTATTTTGTTACTTCAAATGCATCCATGTGATGTTTCTTACTTTTTTTCTCAAAGTTGTTTTTTGTAGTAAACCCTTTTGATCCATATTGGTTAATCATTAGGCAGTTCCTCATTCAAAACATGTTTTATTTTTAAGGCCAGAGATAGTGTTGCCATTAAAAATATTCTGGTAGATATTCTGCATTTTACCACTGCCAGAACTTCACTTGTGTGTTCTGTTTAATTACGCTACTGGTCAGATACCTATTCTCACACGTAACACACACATTTTGTTAAGCCTAAGTCTGCAATATGCAGATTTTACGCATCTGGAGAGATTTTTACCTTCCTGTGTTTTCCACAGTGGGAGGTTCTAGAGATTACCATGTTGTGACTGCAGTCTCATAGGATGGTAGCTTTAACAGCTGTATTCTGACCTCGAATTCTAATTATTAGATTAAATAGTTTTACTTCCAGTGCAGAGAATAGAGTACATCATATCAACAATTATTTTAAATTTATTTCCAAATTTTAATTTGCCACACTTTTTTTTAAACTTTAATGGAAAAAAGTCCATCATTGAAATTTCTTTTTCCATGGTGTCATTCTGAACTCATGTACAACAGTTGTAGAGTGCTGTGAAACTGCTTAGACTGATTCTGTCATAGAGGACTGATCTAATTCTTTCAGAAGCCACAATTAATATTAGTCTTCATTTAATTGGCTTGCACAATATATGTGATCAGAGTTAAGCCCCAAATCCATAATTATGTAAGCTTCTATATTGAATACCAATTTATAAATGCTGCACATACTATTTTGTTGTAGCTTGCTCCTGAAACAAAAGGTGTGATTCACTGGATTATGGATATTCCCTTTGTGCTTTCTGCCAATCTTCATGGAGGAGACCTTGTTGCAAACTACCCTTATGATGAGACTCGGAGTGGTATGTAGTATGAGTTAACATGAAATAGTAGGAGATATAAATTATATTCTATATTTATTTCACTGCTACCTTAGATCCATTTTCTAAATGTTGTGTCACTGCATTAGAATGAAGTATTCTAGCATATTGCTCGTTAATTACTTACATTTTAAAGCTAGTCACTTATGACCATGTTTTCTTGTTTTGAAGGTAGATAGCTTTTTTCAGTAGAGTTACATCATGAAACTGATGTAATACCTGAGGGAATCATGGTCCCTCATATAAGTAATCAGGGCAGCTTAGATCTAAAATTAGTTAGGACTGTTTTTACCCTCTTAACTAAAGCAAGAGACTTGTATCTAGGCCTGTCTGTATGATCTAAGGTTTCTCTACCGGTACCTTTAAATAGTGAATTTCTGAAAGTGATAATATGCTAATAGAAACAATTATCATTGTTTCTACTTCTTCAGTACTGCTCATTTAAAAAAAAAGTTTTCCACTGTGGCAGAGAATGTTATCATTTAGCACATGGTGATATTAAGTCTTTTTAAGTCTACTTTCACACAGTTTAATTGCAAATTCTTTTTAATAGCAGACCCTTTTAGGAGAGACTGTTTTGTATGTACTATGTGTTCTCTTATAAAATATCCAAAGCTTGAAATAGTTCAGTTATTCTGGTATATTTTGAAATTGTTATCATACATATTAAGGCTAATATCCATAATCACATTGATAATGGGGCAGACTGGTACAGGCAGTTGATTAAATATTAGGGGAATATTAATAGTGTTAAAATAATGCTATATTAATTTGTGGTGCTATAATACACTTACTTCTGTGTAGAGAATTTCCACTCACAGACCTGCTGTGCAGTGTTTGTAGTCTAGGAAGTGACTCCAGTCTGTCTGACTGTCCTTTTGACAATCCTTCTTTGTGGATTTGTTTTTTTCCCTAGGCAGTGCTCACGAATACAGCTCCTGCCCTGATGATGCTATTTTTCAAAGCCTCGCTCGCAGTTATTCTTCTTTTAACCCTGCTATGTCTGATGCGAGCAGACCACCATGCCGTAAAAATGATGATGACAGCAGCTTTGTGGATGGAACAACAAATGGTGGTGCATGGTACAGTGTCCCAGGAGGTGAGTCCCACTACAGGGGGATTCAGTGTCTTTGCTGATTGCTTTAAGCTTGAGTTTTCACTGATGTAATTACAGATTGTTAAGTCACAAGGTTATCCACAATTTTTGGTGTGTTTAAGGCTAGATCAAAGACTGATGACTCGCCACAGTACATGAGTAAAATCCCATAAAGGTGGTCATGAAGCCAGTTTAAAATATGCCTCTTTTAGCGCCTTTTCTATAATGTTTCTCCATTGAGAGTTCAGGTTATTACAAACGGGTTTAACGGTGGGCAAGTGATTGCTATGCTAACGTGATGACAGCTTAAGTAAAAAATGAAATAAAAAATCTCATTTAAAAAAAACTAATAAGAGATAGCAGGCTACTAACTGTTCATTATAACCCCAATAATGAAAGCATCCAACCCTGAAAGATGGTGAGGGGCCTGGTTCAGCAACGTTGTAGACAATGGGAGCTCAGCCTTTGATTTCAATGGGAACAAAATCCAACCATGAAGATACTTACATCTTTATACTTCCTGGCTTAATTAGTGCCTGATGCATACCAATATCATTGTTTGCTTTCATCTTAATACCCACGTAACAGTTTCTGAATGAATTTTACATCTTTGTCTGTGCACATAATGAGTAGGAATCTCCCAAAGTCTTAGCCTAAATGATAGCCTAACTCGGCTCCTATTACAGTATAGGGGGTTTTCCAACACCTTTGAGAGGAATATAATTAAGCCAATGCTAAGAGCTTAGGAACAGAACAACTAATGGTAGTGCTTACACAGGCAGCAGTTATCTGCTTATTTATATAGGTGTTATCCCCAGTCTGCACGGAGGCAGTGCATTTCCTCTGCTGTGGTACTACTGAACTGGGTGTAAGGTAAAATTTCAACATTTCTGAATATGACTGAAAAGCAAAAATTTCCTTTTTTGTGAAGCTTTCAACAGACTTCAATTTGGAATCATTAAAACACCCTTGAAAAAACAGGTTTGCATGATTCGGAAAAAAAAAGTGAATATAAATATAATATTGAAAGCTTTAATAGTTAAAATTAGTTTCATTTCAGTCCAAAAATTATCTTAATAAAATGTTAAATGTTAACTGTAAAAACACAGATATGATTTTTTTGTTTTATTTCCTCAGGAAATTCTGTCAAAATCAGTATTTCCATTGTTCTGACGGCATCTTTGATTGTGACTAGGCTGCACATGCCAATGGCACATTTTCCATTGGAAAATTTCTTAGAAAGAGTGAATTATTTCCTGCTTTTTGCATCTTATTTTAAGTTAGACTGTGAGTTCCCAAAGTGAGCCGCTTCTTTTTCCCATGTGTTTGTACAATGTACAAATTGGAAAGGAAGTAGGTTAGTAGAAAGGAATCCTTCTAGCTAGGATCTGTGATCCTAGTATAGTGGACCTAATAAAAAATAGTGAGATGACAGTAGGCTTAGGGCCATACAGCATGATTCTGTTCTTTCAAATGTAAAAATCAGCTGGCAAGCTGTAGCTGCTGAACAAAAACCTCCATGCTAATATTTGCCATGGTATGACTTAAAAAAGCAAAAATAATTCAGCAAAGACAGTTCTGTTGTTCCCATGACTAGTGCTAAGGGAAATGACTACACATTATTTAGTTCCAGTTAAATTTTTCTTGGAAGATTTTGTTTCAAAAAATCTTTTTGCCCTGTGCTTTGTGTCAGGAAACTGAGATGTGGCTATTAAGTGACCTTTTGTATCGGTGACCTGCTATCTAAATGGTAACACACTCAAAGTTAGCAGTAGTGTAAGCTGTTGAAAAGCAGTTTGTATTGATTTTGGAGAAGTATGTCATTGTACCAGAGTTTACAAGGAAAACTCCCTGAAGACCTTGTCTACACAGTGTCTGGTCTGGTTCTGAGCTAAGATGGATCTTCTCTGCCTTTGCACCTTTGGGTTGCTGTAGGCTGTTCTGGGTCCTAGTAGGGCATGTGGTCCACAAGTTAGACTTGCCTCCCCTGTGTGATCTCCCTGGACTGAGTGGAGGCAAAATAGAAGGGGCTTGCCTCAACTTTATAGAGAAAGGAGAAGAACTGGAGGTTTGTGACTGGGTGCTGAAATAGGAAACAGGTAGGGTGGGTACTGAAACTGTATTTGGTGTAGAAAGGAGTGCAGAGCGCTGAGGAGAGCAGAGGCAATGGAAGGGAGAAGGAAAGAGTGAGAGACAGCTGAGCTAAGTGAGGTCTTCTGGACTCCCTCTTTTGACAGTGCCTCATCAGACCCAGTGCTATGAACTATGAGGGGCTGTTTTTTCTTTCTAATAAATTATTAGAGTTGCTGTCGCTCTCTAGCACTTATGTGCTCCCAGTTGTGCTTCATCCTACAAATTTCTTTGCCCCCATCATTTGCCCATAGGGACTTACGCCTTCTGTTAGAGACAGCAGTACATGATGGGCTGGTAGCAGTCTTCATTGTTATGAAGGGATATTGATGAAGTTAGTATGCAGGGATCATATGCTGGTGGCTCTCTCATATGAATATAGGTTGCTTCTGCATGTGGTTTTCTGAAGTGCGTGATGTTTACAGTAGGAAGACTGAATGTCTGGTGGCAGAAATGTCTGGTAGCAGCTCTCGTCTCAAACTAGAATTAAAGATGTATTTTCCATTGAATTCGTGTTCTGTCCCTATGCTGCTTGTAAAGTCTCAGGATTTCCTCATCTTATACCTCTAGCCCTAGTCAAGGTGGCAATTCTCCATTCGTGCTTTCAGGTTTTGAGGTAGAGAGAGAGAGGACGTATAGGGAATATTTGATACCTGCTCCTATCTATTAATTCACCTTTCTGGAAGGAGATTTTCTCATCATCATCTACTCACTAGTTACTTTATTCTATGAAAAAGAGACACAGAGAGTGGCATTCAGCTCTCCCATGGGATATTTGTGCTAAATCATGATGCCATGACGCCTGTTACACTTTTTTTGTATTAGCTGTCATCTGTAATTAGTTGATGCTTGTAGGTTTTTCAGAGAGGAGCAAGCAAAGGTGAAGAGGTTCTTCTGTGTTCAGGAAAGGCCCTTTCAGCCACCGGAGCCTGGGAACAAATGAGCCTGTATACTGAATCAGTGCTATTTTAAACACAGGTCTTCTCCCTATCAGCATATAATTAATGACCTCACTTACGCGCAAGAAAGCCAAACTGAGTTTGCACAGACAGCTCTAGTTCTCGCGTTTCCTTAGCAGTTGAATGCATGACTTTTCGATACCAGTAATATTCTTCTAACGTACCTTTTGTGTGGAGTATCTATTTGGAAATACAAATGAGAATAGTAGATAGTAATTAATTACTAACTAGCTACATGCCTATTCTGCTTGTCCTGTCGTCACAGAGTCACCGGAGTCTAATCAGATTCATATGTCATTACAAAAATAGCATTGGAAAGCAGCTTACATTGCTGTGTAACTAGGCTGTTGTTTAAGTGTCTTTTTAGTTTCAGATGCTGTAGATCTAGACTGTAAATCAGTCTTGGCACTCAGTTAGTTCATTCCTAGCTTGAATTACATTTGAAGTTGCCAGTTTTAGAATTAATGTTAAGGACTTTTGTTAGGATTTTATACAAGCCATGTAGGAGGCTTGTGCTCTCCTCATTGCCCACAAGGCTCAAGTTCATCCTGTCCTGCTAGAGCTCACTGTCTCTATATATGTAGAAGTTGAATGAGCTTAGTGTTGTAACTTGTAATTCAAAATCTAAGCAATTTAGATGCCAGGGGACTCCTTTGGGCTTCACTTGCTTTGTGAAGGTTGGAGTTCCTTTTTTAAAGTTGAAGATTTTTTTTTCTCCCAAATTCTGAGCTTATTTTTATAAGTATCAACATGGAGAAACTGTAGTCTTTCAGAACTGTGGAACAGTGCAATTGTGTTGCTCAGTTCTGAAAAAAAATCCTACTCATAATCAGCAATGAAGGGCATGAATCCCAGCTGTATCTGAAGGGTACTAAATCTTTCTGATCTTCAGAACTAGGCTATCTTCACCCCCTTCAGCATCCCAGAGATCATCACCTGCCGGTCAGTGATGCAGGCTGAATCTTTTTCGGGAGCAACACTTACAATCCTTGGGAAACTCTGTTCCCCCAAGAGTTGGGAAACAAACTGTAGGATACGGCCATTGTGCATGAAAAAGGAAACTATAGTCCTTCTTTATTCTGTCCTTTAGAAACCTGGGCATCTCTGCTGTTACCTTGCTTTGAGGGACAGGGGAGGTAGTGGAGAGGGAGAGACCAAACTGTCTTCCTGAGAACTGGAGCAGCAATGATCAAGAGTTGTTGGCATTACAGTAAAATTACATCATGCGCTTCGGCTCCCAGTTCTTCATGGATTCTTTCATTGTTTTAGAAGAAAGACAAGAATCAAGAAAAACAACATTATCTAGTGTCTGGAACAGATATCTGGCAGTCAGCACTGCTGTCAAGATTTTACTCATCACTTTGCTGCTGTCTTGCTGTGTAGTGGCAAATGGTCCATCTTACTTTCTGCCTGGTGGGACATCAAACCCTTCCTTCCCAGGAGCACCTTTGCCCTCTGCATCCTGATTTTTCAGGCATCTAAAAAGGCTTAGAAATAAAAACAATCCTGTAGGAATACGAAAAATCCTGGTTCCTATCAGCAATTAGGAGGCTGGTTGCCTGGATGGCAGGAGATGGACTATTCGCCCTAATGTGTTGGCAAAATCCCACCTGACTCAATCTGTTCACTGCCCTCTGCATTCTTTTTTGGATATGACATCAGCTCCCTGGACATTGCTGTGCACAAGGTCAGTGCTTGGGTAAAGCGACTGCATCAGGTCTCGTGTAGCTTGCATGAGGGAACATAGGGCTGAATGAATTAAATACGTTTGAAGCCCTTCTAAATCCTTCAGTGACTTCCATTGGGTTGCTATATATGTGAATATGTAGGCCAGGTGCAATATTATAGTGAAGTCCTTTCTAAATTCTCCCTGGGGAGAAAGTGTTTTTGGGGGTTAATTGTCTTGTTGGTAGCTCTGACTTAACATTACTGTATTCAGACCTAAGCTGATGAAAGAGAACTGCGCTAACTTGTATTTATAGCTGTATTTTCCTTAACGCAGCTAGCATTTTACGTGACCCTCTTTACTCCATGTACTTTAGAACAATGCAAAATATATCGCCAACTCTCTTTTCTGCAATTGCAGGAATGCAGGATTTCAATTACCTCAGCAGCAACTGCTTTGAAATAACAGTGGAGCTTAGTTGTGAAAAATTCCCTCCTGAAGAAACTCTGAAGGGCTACTGGGAAGACAACAAGAACTCCCTTATCAATTACATTGAGCAGGTAACCAAAAAAAAAAGAGGATGGCAAAACTGTAGTTATTGTACGTGCAACTTCTAAACATTGTGTTGTGTAAACATCGAGTTCAAAATCTCTTATTAATCCAGTTGCTGCTCCATAATCCTTATACAACTCTGAGGTGATGAATCCTAGGTGATCTTTATAAAGATATGGAAGAAGAGGGGAAAAGAAAAGAGAAGATGGATTAATCTCACTTTACTTAGGCTGTTACAGATATTTAATTTAAATGATTTACATCAGCTCCCTCAGTGAACAGAAATACACATCTCCAGAGCAGAATTCATCCCACCGGCACTGATGTGTATGGTAAGAGGAGATGGATTGCCCTCTACAGATAGGAGAATGTGTTTACAAAACGTGGAATGAATCTGGATGCTCCCTGTACTCTGGATGTACAGGGAGCCTAGACGACTAGTTTAGATTGTAGCTACCTGGCAGTTCATTTTCACGTCAGAGGAGCACTTGTCAGCATGTCGTTACCAAGTGCACACCTGGGACTGTGAAATCAGAAACATACCTTGTTAGAAAAGCTGATCAAGTAATAG